ACTCCCATTTACATGCACACATCTGCTCTCAAAAATCACCCCACCACATTTTCTTTCCCCTTCACATAAAACAGACCTGGCTCAACTTTCTTCATGTAAAAAAAAAAAAAAAAAAAGCAATAGAGCAGCAGTGACTGAAGCTGCCTTGCTCCAGGACTTATCTTTTCAACAACCCATACCAAAAATAAATACGAGGTGAATACTATTCCTCTTTTGATACCCATGTATTTTGGAGCTGTTCCAATATTTTACTGTATTTTTTTCAATTATCCAGAGGACATTTATGAGGACACTTCATTTCAATATTAAAATATTTCACCATTCTTCATTATGACTAAAGTAACATTATTTTCTCTTTTCTCAGTCATGACAAGGCAAGACTTGCAGTATTATCAAATGACTGCACAGACAAAAAGTCACTGGGTTCACAGTTTAAGTGACAGGACATCAACTACCTGACAAGGTCGATGACTCTCTCCCTTGGAGCAGTGCTGACTGGCTCATCATTAATCATTATGATCTGATCCCCTGGTATAAGCTTTCCTTCAGAGGGGCCGCCTGGAGACAAATGAAAAAAAAAAAAAAAAACACAGGTTAGCAGACCATTGTAAATGCACAGACACACTCTGTTCACATACTATGAGTGTTTTTTTCTTCAACTAATGGCGTGTTTGACACTAACACTAGTTCTGACATTACCAGTACTTCCTCGCCAGGAAAATCTGGAAAGCTGGTGGCTTAGCAGCTCCTATGGAGGTTCCTCAAATTATGTTCCAAATCCACACCTAGCTACCTAAAAATAAAGGCTTGATTTTCTGGGGGGCCAAAATGACCCATAAGAGGTGGCCTAATTCACCCTTTAAGATGTGATCAACCATACCTTACCCTGATCAATGTTTGGCTGGTACTCTTGTAAGACCACCCTGAGGATGACCACTTTTTCCTGTAAATATATGATCCTGTTTAACTACTGTTAAGATCAGGAAGTCTTTTTTCCTGGTGTCTACACCAGATCTTCCTTGTTCCAACACATTGTTTCCCGTCCCAGGCAAAGTAACACTGGAGAACATCTTATTCCTCTTTCCTATGAAACATCACTTAGATATTTGAAAGTCATTCACAGGTCTCTCCTCTGACTTTTCTGTTCTGGGCAAAACAAACCTGTTTCCTTCAATATGAAGACAGTAAGTTTCTATACCTCCAGTCTCTGAGTCTCTTTTCTCTGGATTCCTACCACTTGATGAACACAAGTTTCACATACATCCAAAAGCACTGCCACTTTCAGTTAGACACAGATATTTAGCATTAGTCTCAGCAGACAATCAGACATGTACATGTCTATGTGCTTTGAATTCTGACACGGCTGAAATGTATATTGAGCTTATGCTTTACAAAATGCACATAATACTTTGCTTCTCGGCATGATTACATGCCCAGAAGAGGGTGTGACATTGCAACTGCTAGTGAAAAATATATCATCTCTAGTCTTCTGTCTTTAAACTCTGCAATGACGATACATAAAACCCCCAATAATATTACCAATATGAAGATAAAGTCTTAAAACAAAATGTTTCTGTATCAAACCAATTCATTAAACAATTGAGCTAATGCTGTTCCTTTCCTCTGTTCTGTTTGAAAACTTTACTTCACTTATATATCCAGCATAAATGGATACAAATCCGTGTAGGAGAATGTTGTCCTGAGCTCACCTTTCCTCTTGTTCATTTGGAACAGAATATAATAAGCACCTTTTCCAAACTGAACTGTAATATAAAACTACATTAATAATGCTAACTTGGGAGAAAAGAAATGTCTGGATCTAGTTCAAATATTAGTTACACTGCTTGCTTCATCTGAAAGCAATACAAATATAATCAATCCACACACGTGGGTAAATGACATCAGAACTTCACAAAGTCAATTTTGCCTCTCCTCTGCTCTCTGCAGGGGTTCCGGAGAACATATCGAACAAGAGCAAAGTCAAATCCCTGCCCTTGGCTCCAAGGCAATTTTACGTAACAACTGAACTTTTAAGCATAGAGAGCAGGAGCCCGCAATTTGAGAGACTGATTAGTCCCAGGTCTGGTCCCCAGTAAGTTCAAAAATACCACAAACCTCACTGATTTTCACTCCAGGTAAGATGTTTAGGGATCTGTTTTGACCTGGCTTTTTGCCACATAGTTACAGATTAAAAAAACACAAAACCCAACAACCAAAATGCTGTCAATAACATCCTCTTTTTCAAAACCAAATATTACAGTTAGACACTTAGTTCTCTTTGGGAAGTTGATGATAAAAAGAATGAAAAATGTGTAAGTTTTAATCTCACAACTCAACATACCTCTTGAAAACACTGATTCAATGGCAATGAAGGTGACATCAAATCAATATAAACGTAACAGGAAGAAGACCTTCTTTCCTTGAATGAAGTGGGTCAGCTTTTTTCAGGCAAACGATAGTAATGGCTCAGAGCAATAACCTAAAACTGGCTTTTTGTTAACACATTTACATAATGTTCAAAAATGAGTGCAAGGAGGGAAACTGCTGGGCAACACAAGGCTTAAATTCCTACCTAGTATTTCTGATTACTTTGTCTGCCTGAATATTTTAACAGTACTCAAATTTGTAACTGTATTTCACCTCAGTAGATTAAGTCCAAGTTTGCTTCTGGGGTCAGGCGGGGAAAACATACCTGGTGTTACTGAGCGTACAACAACTGGCTTTTCACTACCAGCCACAAACCCAAATCCTAGCACAGGATCCCTCCTCATTTCCACTTTCCGAGGGGCTGGAGGGGTTATTTGGCAGCTCTCTATTCGAGGGTCTTCAAATGTGGCTGATTGTGTCATGTGACTGTGAAAAAAAATAAAAGATGGAAAAAGGAAAAAAATCATTAAAACATGATTTTGTGGTATCTACTTGAGCAATTTCTGCAACGATATGAGATGAGTACCTGAAATGTTCTCACTATAGGAACTAAACCATCAACTTAATAATTTTCTATTAGATTTTCTTATACATAAAATAATAATGCTGCTAGCAGGTCTCAAACAATAATCAATAGTATCAACCTATAAAGAGGTCTCTCTTTGACACCATACATTTAATCATATCCCATATATGAAAGAAAAATAACCCAACAATAAAGCCTTTGTCATCTGTGCTTGAATTTTTCATCCTTCATTTTTTGGAAGGGAAAAATAATAGAGTGACCTACTCATAATGTAGAACATACCAGTTAGAGTCTGGTAGCCTTCTGCAAGAAGACACGACACACATTGAAATTTGGTTTTCTAAAATGTTAAGGAATTTTCTGAGCTGAGTCCTCTCAAACAGACTATCTAAGGCACAGGTAACAGCTCTATATTTACTACTTGAGTAAACTCTCCAAAGTCACTCCAAACTATTCCAGGGGGGGAAAAAAAAAAAAAGGAAAATATATTTATCAGCAATTACTAAAATACTTTACTTTCACCTACAGTGTTATGATGAAGCTTACTTATTGTACCTAGAAGAAAAAATTCTCATGGCTAGAGGGAAAGATCTTGATTTTTCAAGACAATAAAAAGGATGAAAGCTATCCAACATCACATATCCATGAAAGAGGTCATGGTTTAAAAGCATAGAGACTTCTAAATTAATATTAATAAACATTTATAAGCTGTATAAAGAATGAACTGGAAAATACTTTGTGTTTCTCACCCAATGCCTGGTAGGTCCCCATTGAATCAAAGCTACCAATTCCCAGTGCCGATTAGACACACAGACAGACCACTCCAGCGTCATACTCTTCCAAATGCCATTAATTGAACTCATGTGCTTCAGGAAACCTTGTCACCACCGCAGACAACAAGCCACACTTGGTCAGCGTAGCATGAAGACAGACTACAGCTCATGGCGTCAGGTTATTGCAGTCTTGGTAGATCTCAGATAGTATTTATTTAAAGCTGCCTGGCCAAGAGTTACCTCTTTTTTCATCTTCAAGAGACTGTAAATTTGCAGGTGCTGAACTAACTCCAGCTCTTGGTGGATAAATGCAGTAAACAAACGGAGCCAAGTCCCAACCCTGTCTGCAGGGAGGGCACAGGCTCCTGCACTGAGAAGGGTAACGGCCAGGTGGCCAACCTAAGAACATCGCAAAGGACATCAGAGAGGCAGACATCCCTATAACAGTGGGCAGTATCATCAGTCTGAAAGTTGGTCTCCTGATAAATATTTAACAATATGAACATCAAGTCATTTTTCCATATCCTTGGTAATCTTACATATAACATGTTATAACGTAAGAGTTAGGGGACATCCCAGGCGACCAGGATTGTTGCTCTCACCTCCGGTCCCTTTTCCACTTTCAAATACAACTCCCTGAAGAACTCCAGACAGGTGGTCCATAAGGAGAAAGGCATCATTCAGAGATCTGTTTTCACCATCAATGACATGCAAAAACTTCTCTAATCTTTCCCCAACACATACATCTTGGGCATGACATCAATTTCCATTCTCTCCATGGTCTGCTTCTATTACTGACACACAGAAGAGCAGCAAAATCTCAGTAAACTCTCAGCGGGAGTTTATTCCTGTAACTGGATTTTTCTAGGGCTTTTCTTCAAAGAAACTCTCTATCCCTATCACTAGATTCAGTCTGCCTAAGAGAAACATGCTGCCTTTTTATACATATGATCAGAGGTAGTAGAAGCTACTTCCTTACAAAAATAGGAAAGAGAGAGAATATCTCTGCATAAGATGAAGTCAGCAAAGAAAATATATTTTCTTCTACTAGGTAGGCATCACATCTGACACTTCATTCTCCTCCTCTTTCTGTTCCTCCAGTTTTTGTCAATCAATTTTACATAATTTTCTATTATGTTTATTCAAAAGAACTGTTAGAAAACCCAGAGAGCTTATGCAGACTCTTTATGAAATCTATCTTCAAGACCTCCCAGCCACCTTTCTCCTCATCAACTCCTATTTATGATTTGGGCTTCTAGATATTCAAACATTTTGTCTTTCAAATGGGACACTTTCTGAGGTGTCATTGGTATTTCAGAAACTATTTCATCTTGTGAACTTAGCTTTGGTAGAGAGTACAAAACTCTGCATTTGTCATCTCTTTTAGGTGACAGCCTTAACCTAATCTCCCACAAAGTTAAAATGCTCTATTTAATGATTTCTTCCTAATAGCTGTTCCATTTTTGTAATTGGGGCACTACAAGCTGACGCTGTCTCCGAAGACAAAATGCCATATTTACAAGCAACTTGAAAATACTCCTTGAGCCTTTGAGAACCACTTTCCTACCATAGTACATCCTCTCTCTTCAAGCATTTGTGTAGTCTGGTTTGAAAACTGAATCATGAAGGAAAAAACCCACCAAAACAACCCCCCAAAAAACCCACCAACAGCTGCACTTCAGATAACAAATTCCAAGAGCAGACATAGAGATTTGCTCAAAAGAGCAGCTCTGCTACTGGATGTCTCGCTCCAACCATTGCATCGGCTTGTACTGAGAATCTGCAGCAGCACAGCATCAGTTATTCAAAGCCTAAGCGAGAGGATCAGCGAGGAACAGTCCATCATGATTCTGAGTGGCGCAGCAGGTTTTATTGATTTTTAAGGTTATCCACCTTCAAATACATCAACTAAAAAGACTCTGCATCTTACGCTTCCACAGCTTGCTGCATCAGATATTCTTGTATCATTCAGTACGTTGGAAGTGTATTTCAAGAGAGCAGCAAGATATATGAATATGATCCCTGAAGAGATTAGATGAATACGCAAAGCTTTGTGTGATGGTACATTGACAAACCCGCTTCCTCCTGTGGCTAGTTCATTATTGAGATGCCAGTTGTAGTACCATAGTTCAAGACTAATTTGAATTTTGCATTAATTGGAAGTATTTGATCTTCATGTCAGCTATGGAAAATATTGACTTACGAAGAATAACTATGCTAAGAGTTCTAAACCAGAATCTAATAAACTTGGACTCAAAACAGCCACCTTGGGGAACCTCACACAGAGCATCACTTAACCAGTGAAACATCTTATAAGAGTAACTCCAACGCTGCCAACTTCCCATTTGCTTTAAATACAGTAAAAAGTGTGTTTAGATGGTACAGTGCTTTGATCATACCTAAAGATTTACTTTTCTGAAGGAAAAATGGAAGAAAAGGAAAAAGGCTGAGATTTTAAGTATGAACTGTTCTTTCCACATAAGCAAATGCAAGCTGCCCTGAGATTACCTTTTCAAAGAGAGGTACTTATTTCCCACCATTTTCAATGACTGAGATGAGTCCCTGCTTTACAAAAGGCTATCTTCTCTGATGTACTCTTATTGTGAGCAGTGGGAGACAGCTGCCATTATTAACGATAATAATTCTTAGAGAATTTCTTGAACAGAGACTTTATAAAGCAGCCTCTTCCAAGAGATAAACTACCAGCTATGGAAAATCATAGCAGAAGTGTAATTCCAAGTACTTACTCTCAAAAGCTCTCTGTGGCAACTACTCTACTCAAAAGAGAGGGTAACAGGGGAAACGAGAGAGAAGGCATGTGAGTGTGCACACATCGACACACAGAGCAGAATGCAGGCATGGCAGGGTAGCATAACATTCATTTACACACTCATCCACAAAAGGGCCTACAGCAAGTGAAGGAGGAAGAAAATTAGAAAAGAAAAACATCTTGGGGAACACTGATCAGCTGCGACAAGGCAGCCAGCACCTGCAAACACAATTCAGCTGCCCAGGACATTATGGGGAGCCTAACTCTATTGGGTCTGTCTGAGATGGAGTCAACAAGTGCATACCTGATTCATGCTCAGGAAAGTCGAGGTACGGTTTAAGGCTGGCACTCTGAATCTTCACATCATTAGCTTCATAATGATTAACTTGGTAATGCTTACTATGGACACCTGTTTAGCATTTTCCTCATTCAAATTACACGCTGAATAACCCAAGAAATATCTAAACAAAGACTGTAATTAAAATGAGAGCTTGATTTAATAATGCATATTAGTAATTAAAAGCAAAGTATCCAAGCACAGTACTTTTTCAGCCTTTGGATTTTGACGTGTCATTCCCTGACAGGGATTAGTGGGCTAATTCTGAGAGGTTTGTCTATGGCAGCTAAGAAAGCCTGTCCTTAGCAGCCTGAAATTTGTTATGCAGGAGTTTGCATTTCCACAGGAAAATGCTTAGGGGTCTAACTCTTCCAAGAAACTCAAAACTATGGCATGAATCCAGCAACCCTGGTTATGATAAACATTATTTTGGAAATATATTATAAAAGCACCCAAACAACTTTAGCTCCATTCTGCAATGACATCCAAAAAAAGAGCAGAAAAGGTGATACTTCGAGGCAAGTTTAATACAGCTGCATGCCTACGAACACTAAAACATCTTAACTGTAATCAAATGTCTGTTGCATCATGTCACGACAGTGTGGAGACAGGCTGCATTTTAGTGTTTCATTTTGTATTTCCATATTACAGCTTGTTTCAATTACTTCAAAGGTTAACACCAATTATCGACGTTGTGGGTTTTAATCCTTAGCTTTTAAATAGTTACAATGTCTCTGCTATACAGATTGATTTAACTACTAAATAGACTCTGTTTTGACTTGAGACACAGCAGGTGTAATCCTGGTCAATGATGGAGAAGAGTCTGTGGAAATGTCAAACCACTCATGGGCTGATGAGTGGAAGTGGGCGAGGAGGATGGAGATAAGGACTTTTTATCAAAGGTTTAATTCAGAAATAACAAAACCACTTCAGATTGTTGAGCACTGTTAAAATCCTGTCTCATTAACTTGGAGGAGGTGGAGGATCAACTTTGTTGATTGCAGTTGTGATTTTCA